GTAACCACTCTTTCACCTTATCTTGTAATGAGAATGGGAAAAGATGAAGTTTGATAGCATCATCAGTAGGGATGGCAACGGGTCAAATCTGGACCGGCGGGTATTGTTGAAGACTTGAGCAGATTCCTTAAGTAGGCCTTTAAGGAAATCAGGTGGCGCAAGTTCTTGAAGTTGCTCATTTGGGCCTCCTGCCCACTTTGACATTGTTTAACTTGATTAAATTCAACCAAGAGCCCATCCTTTTGCTTATAAATGGATCATTGCCTTCAATGATACCATGTCCATTTCAAATGCAAGGTTGCCACTGAGAGTCACCGGAACTCCGGCCACCGTAAAACACATTTCATGGGTCTTCTAATTGGTAGTTAATGCTCATAATTTCTCAAACCATTGCAGCCCTAGCATTATATCGGCATTACCCAATCCAAGTGGAAGGAAGTCCTCCATAACAATCACACCCCCGGCTAGGTATGACAATCGTAAATGGATATCCAAAAATCCGATCCACCCGATATAAATAAATGAATGAAAATCCGCATTAAATGGATGATGGGCGGGTGACGGGTCGGGTCGGAGTCAGGTGGGGCTCCATTTCATCCGTCATCCGATCCATCATCCGTTTATCACCCAATCCGTCATCCACTCGATATAAATATAATTATAATTATTTTAAAAAAAAAATTTCTAATAAATATAAAAGCCCATCTATTTTTGTAACCCTAACCCAAATTCATTGAAAACTTGAAACTCCCTCAGTCTAATCCTCTCTCACACTAAAACTCCATTGTATCTGAAACGGAGAGTGAGGGGCAAATGTTTAGGGTAATTTTACCGTTGTTTTCTAAAGCTGGGTTTTCTAAAGCCGTTGTTGAAGTGTGTCACCCCAGAAAAGGGGAAAGAAGTTCTCGAAGATCTGCACTCGGGATATTGCGCATCCTACATAGGCGGCAGATCCCTGTCCACATGCGGCAAGGTACTTCTGGCCTACACTTGAGGCAAACACCATAGAAATGGTCAAAAAATGTGACTAGTGCCAGAAATTTGGCAAGCTCATCCATGAGTCGGCAACTAACTTGACATAGCCTAGTCCCGTTTGCTAAATGGGGCATGGACATTCTAGGTCCTTATACGCCTCCACTGTGGACTATTTCACCAAGTGGGTGGAAGCAGAGGCGGTCAAGAGCATCAAGACAAAGGATGTCATCTCTTTCATTTGGAAGAACATCATCACCCGGTATGAGGTACCTATGTTTATGGTATTTGATAATGGCCTCAGCTGAAGACTTGGTTGGGAGATCAAGGGATCTCACATTATTTTGCATCAGTCGGCCGACCCAAGCAAACGGCCAAGTTGAAGCCTTCGACAAACTCATCTTAGACGCCATCAAAAAGAAAATTGAAAGAGATGACATCCTTTGGTCATCCGGACAACTGAAATAGGGGCAACCGGTGAAACCCTATTTCTCATGGTTTATGGTGCTTAAGCCGTCTTGCCCATCGAGCATTATGAGCCGACTCTACGAGTCATGCTATACGATGAAGAGGCAAATTGGGTGGCCATGTGGCTAGCATTGGACTCACTCACGGAACGCAGGGGCAATGCCGCCTTGCTTCATGAGATTTACTGTCTAAGAATGACCCGTGCCTACAACAAAAGAGTGCACAAACAGCCCTTGAAAGTTGGAAACTTTGTGTTACGAAAAATGAAGGCAACCGGTAGGGCCAATGAACATGGAAAACTAACTCTTAATTGGGAAGGCCCCTACCGGATCTATGAAGAAGTAAGATTCGACACCTACCGCCTGGATGCGGTTGCCCAGAACTTGGAATGTAGACAACTGTTGGAAGCGTGGTGGACACTCAAATATATCTGAGACAATAATATAGAGAGGAAAACAAATGCACTAAATAATAACTCTTATATCTCTTATAAAATGTGTGTCTGACTTTTCTATTTCTTTTTTCTTAATTCAAAATGAGTACATATTGCGTTTATATAATATTGTGTATGCTAATAAATGAATGTTTCTCCTTAACATTCTCTCTTTCTCTCATAATAATAGCATTCCTAATTTCATTATTCATGAATAAGATTTAATTAGTTATTTGTAGTAAATGTCAAGTTTATCACTTTTTAACACTCCCCCTTAAACTTTACTTTCTCACAATACCAATTAACTTTTGCATCCTATTAAAATCTTTAAATTTCAATGGCTTCGTAAAGATATTAGCAATTTGATCCAAAGACTTTACAAACTTCAATTCGATTTCTTTCTGTTCGATGTATTGTCGGATGAAATGATACCTCGTGTCAATATGTTTGCTTCGGTCATGAAAGACAGGATTTTTTGCCAAAGCAAGAGCTGACTTGTTATCAGCCATGATCTCGGCGGGTTCCTTTTGTGGCAGTTGGAGTTCCTTCAATAATCTCCTTAACCATATCGAATGACATGCACACGAAGTAGTAGCAATGTATTCCGATTCACATGTAGATAGTGTAACAATTGGTTGTTTCTTTGAACTCCATGAAACAACATTGTTTCCGAGTAAAAACGATCATCAATATCTCCAGCAAAATCACTATCACAATATCCCATAAGCTTAAAATCATGTGAAGTAGAGTATAATAACCCATGGTCTAATGTACCTTTTAAGTATCGGAGAATTCTCTTTGCCACTTTTAGATGAGATGTAGATGGATTTTCCATAAACCGACTTACTAGTCCAACAACAAATAAGATGTATGGGCGAGTACATGTAAAGTATCGTAAACTTCCTACTAAACTTTTAAACAAGGTTGGATTCACCTTTTCTCCATTTGGATCATTCTTCGACAATTTCAACCCACATTCCATTGGTGTGATCACTGGATTAACATTCAACATATTGAATTTCTTCAATACTCCTTTTGTATAAGCTTCCTGTGAGATAAAAATTCCTTCATCACTTTGAGTTACTTCAATTCCTAGATAATAGGACATGAGTCCCATATCCGTCATCTCAAATTCACGTGTCTTTCTTTTCTTAAAATCATCAAACATTTCTATACTACTTCATTCATGTGAAAATTAGATCATTTACATAGATGCAAACATAGAACACATCGTTGTTTTTCCTCTTAACATAAAGTGCATACTCATGAATGCACTTTGAAAATCCATTTTCTTGCAAGTATTTATCGAGCCTACTATTCCATGCTCGAGGTGCTTGCTTCAACCCATATAATGCCTTTTTCAATCTAAGTACTTTATTCTCTTGTCCCTTGATAGCGTAACCTTCTGGTTGTTCAATGTACGCTTCTTCTTCTAGAAATCCATTTAGAAAAGCAGATTTTACGTCCATTTGATGTATCTTCCACTGAAATTGTGCTGCTATTGAGATTAGCAACCTTACTGTCTCTAATCGGGCAACTGGGGTTAATACCTCTTCAAAGTCTATTCCCTGCTTTTGTTTGTATCCTTTAGCAACTAGTCTTGCTTTGTATCTTTCAACATCACCATTAGCGTTCCTCTTGATTTTGAATACCCATTTGACTCCTATCGCCTTCTTTCCTTTTGGGAGTGGTGTCAATTCCCATGTTTCATTCTTTTGAATGGCTTGTATTTCTTCATTCATGGCATGAATCCATTCCTTTTGTTTCGTTGCTTCATTAAAGCTCATTGGTTCAATATCACTGAATAAGCAAAATAAAGAAGTATTTTCTTCTAACCTTTCTGTCGTTTCATATAGATCGGAAATACTTATATATTTCTTTGGTCCTTCACTTGAATTTGATGAATCTCCATTTGAATGTAATGAAGGTGATAACATTTGAGGAGATGGTGCTGAAACATGTTGTGTTGAATTTTGTTCTTCAAAATAAGGAAGAAAGTTGTAAGATTCTTCCTCTTCTATGCTCCAATCCCATGCTGCCTCTTCATCAAACTCTACGTCTCTACTAATTACTGGCTTGTTGGTGTTTGGATTAAACAGCTTATAACCCTTAGACTTTTCATTTTCATCATATCCAATGAAAAGAAGTTTTTCACTCCGATCATCAAGTTTAGACCTTAGTTGCTTAGGAACTTGTGCATAAGCAACTGAACCAAATACTCGAAGATGTGATACACTTGGCTTCCATCCACTCCAAGCTTCTTGAGGTGTCACATTCTTCAAACTCTTTGTTGGTGAACGATTAGACAAATAAACTGCTTCTGCCCAAAATTCTTTTGGCATCTTCTTATTTTTCAACATGGATCTTGCCATGTTGAGAATGGTTCTATTCTTCCTTTCGGCGACCCCATTTTGTTGTGGTGTTCTAGGAACAGTAAGCGGTCGGCGAATTCCTTGGTATTCACAATATTTGTTGAATTCATTAGATGTGAATTCACCACCTCTATCAATCCTTAATGCTTTTATTTCATAACTACTTTCTTTCTCTACTAATGTTTTGAACTTCTTGAAAGTTTCAAAAGCTTCGGATTTATTTTTTAAGAAATAAGCCCATGTCTTCCGGTTATAATCATCAATGAAAAGCATAAAGTATGAATTGTTACCGAGTGATGGGGGTTTGATAGGTCCACATAAATCTGAATGCACTAACTCGAGTGGCTTTTGAGCTCTTGAATTAGTTTGTTTTGGAAAGGGCTTCCTTGAATGTTTGCCCAACAAACATGCTTCACAAATAGGGCTGGCAAACGGGTCGGGTCGGGTTCAGGTCGACCTGTTTACATAAACGGGTCAGGACCCCCCAACCTGAACCTGACCTGTTTACTTAAACAGGTCAAAAAAACCAACCTGAACTCGACCTGATTATAAACGGGTCGACCTGAACCCGACCCGCCTAAACCTGATTTTTTTTTTTAATTAAAAAAAATAAAATAAAAACCTGTAATTTACTAATTTCTTTATACTGTAATTTTTTTAACCTGTAATTTGACTAATTTCTTTAACCTGTAAGATTCAAGTATTCAAGACTTCAAGTTCAAACACATAATTCAAGCAAACATAACTTAACAACATAATTCAAGAAAATCCTGCTGCATTAGTGCATTGTCCATACTTCATACACTCACAACAGCAACTAAAACTTGAAAAGTAGCCATCCAACAAGTCCAAAATATTTCCAAGAGTTACATGTCCAAAATACTTCCAAGTAGGCAAATAAAAGTTCAACTAGAAAACCAAATACATGTCCAAAATAACAGTAACAGTTTCATCAACTAATTTTAGAAGAAATTAACAACATAATCAGGTTTGACTCTCCATGACAGCAGGACTTTCTGGTGCACTTTGTGGAGGGCTGGGAGTATCCCCCACATCATCGTTGACTTTCATGGCCATGATTTTTCCACATAAATCTTGCAATTGCGGATCCATATTAGCTACAACCAAAAGAATACATACAAAAGTTAATTTCAGCCTTAAGCATAAATAAAATAGTACACAAAAGAAACAAAAAAAATTGTAATTTTAAATACATAAACTATTTTCATACCTTCACCAAAAGTCCAATCTTTGAGGCAAATGATAGCTTCTGCTGTGTTTGGTTTCAAAGAGCTTCTATAGCAGTCCAAAACTCGACCACCTGAAGGCAGATTCTGAAGCTACTGTTGAAATAGGGATTGCAAGGATGTCCTTTGCCATCTTTGAAAGAATTGGATACCTCACAACATTTGTTTTCCAATGATATAGAATATTAATGTTGGTTGCACGAGGAATCAATGGCTCTTCCAAGTAGATTTGCAAGTCAGATTTAGCAGCAACATATGATTTGCTAGAAGAGAAGTTATCAAAGTCCTAAAAGATGTTTAAACAAAAATTACAATAAAGCATACAAAAAACAGAATTTAAAGCTGATTATCAAACAAAAAGCAAGTGTTCACAGTTACCATCATAAAAGAATCAGAAGCAACATCAACTTGCTCTTCATTAGGCTGTCTAGAAGAACGACGCCTTGTTCGTGGTGTTGTTGTGGAAGCCTCTGTCACATAAGCACCATATAAATAATCCAACCTTTCCTTGAACTTCACCAACTCATTAGTACCCTCTATTTCCCCATACACCTTCTTAAAAGCCCACTCCACAAACTCATACTTAAATCGAGGGTCTAGAACAACAGCCACAGCCATGATTATGCTAAAGTTGGTCCAATATTTAGCAAATTTCTCATTCATTCTTGCTGCCATCTTATGCATGAAGTTATCAGAATTTTCAAGCTCCTCTTTCAAGAGTAAACGGATTTTCAACACATTTGGGAAGTATACATTAGCGGTAGGATAATTAGTACCCGAAAAAACATTTGTCACATCAAAAAAGACCTTCAAAAATCTGAATAACTTCTCTATTCTCCCCCACTCCTCATTTGTTGGACAATGAATGTAATTGGCATCAACCTTTTGAAAATGAAGAAAAGCTTTTTTGTAGTACAAAACATTCTCTAACATCAAATAAGTTGAATTCCATCTAGTAGGGACATCTTGTCTCAATCCTCTCCTCTACTTGAGTCTAGTTCAACATGTGCCACACAAGTCAAAAAACGTTGCTTTCTAGCCTGAGACCCTTTACAATACTTCACAGTTTCTCTCACCTTAACAACAGCCTCATTAATTTCTTTTAACCCATCTTGCACAATTAAATTTAGGATATGTGCACAACACCTCACATGGAAATAATCCCCCTCACATACCAAATCAAGTTCATTTTTAATTACATCAGCAAACACATCATTAGAGGAAGCATTATTAAGAGTAATACACATGATTTTCTTTTGGATACCCCACTCTTTAAGAAAATCATAGACATGGTCAGACATATTGACACCGGTGTGAGGTGGAGGCAAAAAACGAAAGTTCAGAATTTTTTTTTGCAAATTCCATTGATTATCAACCAGTCAAAGACATGTAACCATCAGTAGTAATTGAAGTCCAACAATCAGATGTAAGAGAAATCCTACCCTTAACTACACTCAACTCCTCCTTAAGTTTATCTTTTTCCCTCTTAAACATTTTCAGAACATCAGCCTTCAAAGTATTTCGAGACACAAGTTTAACATCAGGATTTATGTAATTAATCAACTTCCTAACAGCACTGAAAAGGAAAATTATGTTTCACCACAGCAATAGACAACATCTCACGAACAATATCATAATCAATTGTAGGAAGCCTATTCATCATAGAACCAGAACTACTTGAATCAATAATCATCTGACCCACATCTTTAAAGGTCCTTTTTTTACATTTCTTAATGTGGCGTTTTAAATTACCAGTTCCTTGCCTACTTTCAGCATTATATTTCTGCCCACATTTTTTACACTTGCAAATGATGTTACCTTGTTCGTCAGGTTTATCAAGGAATTCAAAATTTGCCCACACATTTGAAGTGAGCTTTCGTTGGCGCTTGAAATGAATTCCAGGCTTATTCAGCGAGGTGACATTAGAGGTTTTCTTCTTTGATTCCGTTTGATGAGAATTAGAAACTTCATCATCTGAATCAGAATCCGGAAGATCAATGGGTTCATCAGGATTAGGGCTATCAGCCATCTAGCCATCTGTGAATAAATTAAAAAAAGAATTACACTCATGGCATAAAAGATAAAACATGAAAAACAGAAGTATAAACTCATGAGTCATGACATAAAGAATCAAACTCATGAAATTGCAGAGTAAGAAAATCAAATCAGGGCAAAAAATCGCATAAATAAATCGCAAAAAATCGCATAAACAAATCGCAAATAATCGCAAAATAACAAATCAAATGTTCGAAAGAAATTGCAGAGTAAGAAAATAACAAACGAACAACATTAAATGATTAAATCACATAAACAAAGCATACATAAACCATAATAGCAAAAAATCGCATAAAAAAATCAAAGAAGTCTGAAAATTGCATAACCAAATCAAGGAAATTGCATAAACAAATGACTCATGAGCAAACAAACTCATAAAAAATCGAATAATAGGATTATTACCTTCAGAATGTTCGAGATGAAGCTTCAATCTTCAGGGTTCAAGCAGTTTTATTTCAATCTTCAAGAGTTAGAGAGAAAAGAGAGGAGAGAAGAGAGAGAAACTGAGAAGAGAGAGAGTTTGAGTGAAAGAAAGCGGCGAGAGAAAGAGGGGATTGTTTTAGCCGTTTAGGACTTTAGGTCTTTAGGGAACTAGGGTTAGATAATTTGGGCTTGGCCCATATTTTAAAATTAGGGTTTTAAGTTAAGCGGGTTGGGTTCGGGTTGACCCGACCTGAAAACCGACCCAATTAAATAAACGGGTTTATGCGGGTTGGTTTCGGGTTGGGATTTTCAACCTGAACCCGACCCATTTAACTTCAGGTCGGGTTCGGGTTGACCCAATTACATAAAGGGTTGAAAATCTCTATCAAAACCCATTTATTTCGGGTTGGGTTCGGGTCGGGTTGTCGGGTCGGGTCAGCTTTTGCCAGCCCTATTCACAAAGTTGATTTGGATGATCAACATGGGGTAATCCTTGTACCATTTTCTTGTGACCTAGTTTCTTTAGTCCTTCAAAATTAAGGTGACCAAATCTCATATGCCATTTCCAAGATGGATCTTCAATACACGTCTACAAACACATAGGTCCAATTGTTTGTAAGTTTATCAAGAACATTCTGTTTTTTGTCATAGAGACTATAGCTATAAGCTTAGAGTATCTATCACGTAGCCACAACTTTTGTTCCTCCATTATTATTTTACATCCATTGACCTCTAAGAGTTGACCCACACTTAAGATATTACTTCTTAAGTTAGGAATATAATAAACATCCGGAATTAATTTGTGACTAGAATCCTTTATTTCAATCATTATTGTACCTTTCCCTTCAATCTTTACTTTTGAGCCATCGCCAAAAGTAACATTCCCTATCACAGTTTTATCTAGATCAACAAATTTATTTTTGTCTCCTGTCATATGATTACTTGCTCCATTGTCAAGATACCATGTGCAATTTTCATCTCTCTTGTCTTCTATTTTTAGGGCTAATAGCATGGTTGAATCTTCTACATCTTCTTTATCTTCAATAAGATTTGTTTCTTCTTGCACCTTTTTTGAATAACATTCCCATGCAAAATGGCCATATTTATCACAATTGTAACATTTAATATTAGCTTTGTTACTACTTCTTTGAAACTGGTTCGTTCCTCTACCTCTTCCTCGGCCTCGACCTCTGGTAGAAGTTTCACCTCTAAAATAATTATTGGTGTTTTGGTCTTCTCTCCCTCTTCCTTGGCCACGTCCACGTCCTCGTGAAACACCTCTACCACGTGATTGAAATCTTTGTTTATCACGTGTGTCTCCTTTATTATTAAAATTGATTTTAGCTTGCAACACTTGTTGCTCATCTTCCTTTTTACCTTTTTTTAACTATTCTTTGTTCATAGGCTCTAAGAGACCCATTTAGTTCATCAATCGTCATGGAATCCAAGTCCTTGTTGGCCTCTTCGATAGCAACTACTGCATGGTTGAAATCGGAATTAAGAGAGCGTAGTATTTTTTCAACTACACGAGAATCTGGCATTGACTCACCAAGCCTCTTCATTTGATTCCCAATGTATGAAACTCTTCCAAAATAATCAGAGATGGATTCTTTATCAGACATCTCAAGGTGTTCAAACTCTCCTCTTAGAGTTTGAAGTCAAACCTTCTTTACTCTACTTACTCCTTCAAATGAATTTTGAAGAGTATTCCATGCTTGTTTGGAGTTGGTTGCATTAGCAACTTTCTCAAACATATCGTCATCCAATCCTTGGATGACTGTAAGTGCATTTTGATCCTTTTTCCTCTCGGTTTCCAAACCTTGTTTATCAGCCTCATTTAATTTTGAGTCATCTTCTGGTTGTATAAAACCTTTTTCAACAATCTCCCAAAGTCCTTGTGCGCTAAGAATAGTTTTCATTCGTAGAGACCACTTATCATAATTTTCTTTTGTGAGTTTTGGATATTGAAAAGCTACGACCTTATTTTTTGTTGCCATGTTTTATATATAACCTGGTACCACTTTGTTGGAAGCGTGGTGGACACTCAAATATATCTGAGACAATAATATAGATAGGAAAACAAATGCACTAAATAATAACTCTTATATCTCTTATAAAATGTGTTTCTGACTTTTCTATTTTTTTTTTCTTAATTCAAAATGAGTACATATTGCGTTTATATAATATTGTGTATGCTAATAAATGAATGTTTCTCCTTAACATTCTCTCTTTCTCTCATAATAATAGCATTCCTAATTTCATTATTCATGAATAAGATTTAATTAGCTATTTGTAGTAAATGTCAAGTTTATCACTTTTTAACAACAACAAGGTTTGTAAATTTTTATAAATGAAAAGCTCATCAATGAAAGAGTTGCCTTTTGTTTTCAATTTTGTTATTTAACTCGTATATGTACATGCATAGTGTTAAAATACAGCCTTGCACACACGATCAACTTAATGAATTAAACTAAGTTAACAATTTAGTGGCTAAACTAATGTTCAAACTATGAGGCCAATGGCCGGATGATATTTTATTTTATAAATTCGTCTGCTCCAACATGAGTAAGGCGTAGAGTATCTCCCATCCGGGTAACCAAGTGCTCTACCTACTCATACAGACGGCAAAGATTGAACGATCTAATTGGTCAACCCATAGCCGTTTGACTAAAATAATATAAAGAATGATTAAGCTCAAAAGTCGGATGTCTAATGACATCAGCCGGTTGCCGACTGAAGTTCTAACCTAGATTATTTAACGAAATAATACGAGTCCACCCAATGGGGCAAAGAGACATTGAGTATAATGGATCGAAGACACCCCATGCGGAGGAAATAAAGCGCCACTCAGAATTTCATGACGGCTGCCACTTGTGTATTTGGACGGCTATGCGATTGGTTTGGGGCAATCACTACTGTGTTTGATTGACTTGGGAACTTCCCATACTCTTTACAGTATCACTAGTTCCTAAGCCAATCAATCGGCAATGAAACCAACCACACAGCCGCCTAGGGGCAAGTACAGCCGGGTTGATTGCTGCATGCTCTTATTGAGTTAGGCAAAAATTCATCTATATATATAAGCAAAATTTAAATGCAAATATTTAAATGCAGTTTCAAATTCAAAAATGTAAACCGACTCAGTCGGTACTTTCATAGATGAAACCCGGCCACCGAGAGAAATGTTGAACTGGATTATCATCCGGAAGGGAATAAACTTAAAAATTGTTGATTAAAACATTCAAATACACGACTCACAGGCAGGAAGATATACATTTGGCATAGTGTCGCTGAAAACTAGGGTTGGTCCGCCTGGTTCTGCTCCTTTGGTTCTTCTTCATTCTCTTCTTCAGAATGGAGCTCAATCGCCTCACCGGATTTAGGAAGTTCCTTAGCAAGCTCCTCAATCTCAGATTCGCCCAGGCTTCGAATAATTCAGGCTCCGACAATCCTCTCTTTTATACACTACATCCTCGGCGTATTGGAAAGCCAGTGCCCAAATACCATACTCCTTTACCGGATAGAGCGCATCCCAAGCAGTCTTCATTCGGGTGTCGGAGTCGGTCTCATTCTCAGCAATAAGACGGTTTTGCTGCGCCTCAATGGTTGTCTTGATGTTCATCTGACCCTGTGCATCCTTTTTCAGACGTTCAACGTTGAGATCAGTATTCTTATGGCAACACCCTATAGAGCCTTGAGGTCATCTTGAGCCTTCTTGAGAGAGGTTTCAGCATCACCGGCCTTCTTTTTGGCCTTCTCAGAGCTGGAGTCAGGCCCCTGATTTGCTCCGTCTGTTTCATTTCCACGACTTTAGGATCAAGTTCATTTATTGTTCAATGATATTGTGCAACATTTTCAGAATCCGTAGCCGATCTATTAGCTCTTTTTACTTCCTCTCTCTTTAAAGTGTATGGCCGCTTGAGCCCAATAACCCTTATCATAGCCTGCAAACACAAACAGTGTGAAAAAACAGGCAAAAGTATACTTACTATTTTTCAAAAGATAGTCATACCTCAAACAGGAGGGTCTAAGATGCGTTCCATATTGAACGTCTCTATGCCCGGAATGGCGTCCTTCTCCTTCTTGGAGACAGCTGCCTACACGTCCGGTCATCGGGGGGATTGATCTGCACCATATTTAATAGTGGGTGAGCTATATAGGCGGCACCAGCTTATTGTCGGCAGTCTAACGAAGAGGTCTGTTTAGAGTGAGATTTCACTTGCAAGGGCCACTCAGGTGGTGTTTCGAAAGGATAATATATACCTTTAGAAACCTGTAGGTTTGCATCACCTACAAACGCAGAGAGGCCGGATGGAGTTAAGAACCCCTGCCAAGTCCAGGCCAAGTCCGAAGCCTTCCTGTGTAATGTTCTCCCCCCCAATGCGCACACGGTGGAGGCGGTGGTGTCTCGTCCCCCGTTTGAACCTCAAGGACTTGGGAACCTCCCCACCCTGCAAATGAAATTGTTTATCAAACATACAACCGATAAATCTTCTTTATAGTGGTGTCGAAATAAAAAACCAAACGGGTTCTTACCTTAGCCTTTATTTCAGCTGAAATTTGGGCGGAGGACCGTTTGGGGGTCTTCTCTTCGGGCAACATCCTCAAAGCCTCTTTTGCAAAAACAAACAAATAAACTCAGCTCAATAGCATAATTAACTCGCAAAGCAATAGCACAAACGACATTTAGCCAGATGTGCAATATACATACGCTCTGTGAACATTTTGCTCAAACCACAGGCAGACAAGATCGCCTTGTCTCTCAGCCACGCACATATGGGTATCCAATTCTTTGGAACCTTTATAATGTCCCCGGTTGAGAGAGTCGCAGTGTCAAGTTAAAAAAAACCCCGGTTCTATGATTTTCTCATAGTCGTCCTCTAGAATCCAGGGAAGGGCACATTTTCGACCAATAAGGTCAGGCTTCTTATTATACCGGCGAAGTTCAAAATTTTCACGCCAGGAGGGGGCATATAGTAGAT